GAGTTGGAGTCTTGCTCTGTAGCTCAGGCTGGAGTGCAGTGGCACAATCTTGGCTCACTGCAACCTCCGCCTTGTGGATCTTGGTTCAAGCAGTTCTCCTGCCTCAGCCTCCCAAGTAGCTGGGATTACAGGCATGAGCCACTATGCCCAGCTAATTTTTGTGTTTTTTAGTAGAGGTGGGGTTTCACAATGTTGGCCAGTTTGGTCTTGAACTCCTGACCTCATGATCCACCTGCCTCGGCCTCCCAAAGTGCTGGGATTACAGATGTTAGCCACCGTGCCGGCCCCCCAACCTGAATTTTTAAAGGCTGTTTGATATATATTATCAAAGTGTTGGTACACAAAGATTGTCCTAACACTGCATATTCTAAATCTTTTTAATTTTTACCATTTTGATAGGTAGAAAATATTACACATTATTATTTTAATTTAGCATTCATTATTTTTACTTATATAACTATTGGCTGTTCATGTTTTAATACTTATATATGGCCAACTAGGAGTTTACTGACGCTAACTCATATCAGATGATGTAAATATTTCCCTCAGTTTGTCACTTATATTTCATCTTCATTTACAGAAATATGTTTTGGTATAGAAGTTTAACGTTTTTACTAGTCAGATCTATCAATCTTTTGTAAAGCCATAATCAGTCTGAGATAATAGATTTATAGTTGTTCCTAGAAAAACTAGTGTTTTAAGTTTAGAATTTTCTTATGTGGCTAGAAAATTGAGGAATAGTTGAAGCACTCTAACCTCAATTAGGATATTTTAATAAATTATCATAACCCGAATAAGGATAATGCTCATTTTTATTCTACATTAATCTAAGTTTTTATGCTAAGTTTTTTCCTTTTTCTCATTAAAATATTTTCTTTTTGTCTGCTACTGTTCTTTTGAGGTATACCTTTAGAAATTAACAGAGTTAAAATTTGAAAGAATTTTGAATTTAGATTTTATTCTCTCTTTTGTCTTCGCTAATGATAATGATTCAGAAATGTTAGAACTGATTTAGGATATCAAGGTTTTACAGTTTTTAATATAAGTATACAGTGTGCATTAAAACGGGAAATCATTTTATTGAATCTGAATGAGGACTTCAGATATTTACAACAGCTTAAAATATATTTTTTTTAGATAAGTGATAAAGAGAAGACTCTTCGAGAACAGGAGATTATTGCCTCATCACCAAATTTAAATGGAGTTAAGTCGGAGTCCATTTATAAGGTACGTAAACATGTAAAATACTCCCTAGGTTTTGTTAAATATGTCATATTGAGCTATATATATATATATATATTTAATTAATCCATTTTTATAGTTTCTCATCACCACAGCTACTCCTTCTCCTGTACTTATACTGTACTCATTGCACTAAGGGTTTGCCAATGTTCTCTGCTGGGCTGTACCTTCCACAGATGCATTCCTAAACCTGCTTGGGCTCTGACCCCCCATTGCAGGCTCTTTTCCTAAAGGAACACGCTCCTTGCATTGTTTGGCTTCTTACACCCTGCACTGGGCTGTCCCCTGCCAGGAAACCCTCATCGTGCATTTGTCCCAACACTCTGTTTGGAAGTCCACTTCGCTGCTCTTGGCCTCTGACATCGTGCTGTCTCGCCTCATGGTCTCTCTGTCATTCTGTTTGGGATCTGACATTGTAAGCCTACTTTTTTCCTATGTGAATGCCTTCCTTAACCTACTCAGATTGCACTGTCCTGTGCTGGGCCACCTTGGTTTCCCCTCCCCACTCATTGCAGATAGCTACTTCACACAAATCCTTCCAAAAGGGGAAGAGGGAAGAGCTTATATTCATTTCACCATTTGACAACTGCAACCCCACAATTTTCTTTGAAAAGAATATACTAATTACTATGAGTGAGTGCCAGTAGTTTAAAATCCCCTCGTTCCAGCTTCTTTGTTTTGACTGTTGAGCCATCATTCAGTCAGCCTTTCAAGCTTAGAGTGTGGGGATCAGTATTTATTTCTCCTACAGCACACATTTCCAGTTAGTGTGCCTTCTCATCATCTTTTGCTTCTACTTGCACATTTTTATTTCCACTGTGACCACCTTAATAAGCTAGAAGCATGGAATGTTGTAGCTAAAGAATCCCTAAGGGTCAGTTAGCCTATCTCTTCCTCCCCTCTCTCAGTTTTACAGTTCTGGCTGCAGAGATTTAGAGGGATTCATTAGATTTACCAAATCATAAGTCTAGTCAGTATCAGAACTTGGAATAGAATTCATGTTTTAAGTTTCCGTTCCCTTTTTTTGCTTATATTATTGCAATAAACCCTCCTACTTGCTCCTCTGATATGTCCTGTGTAAGCCATCTGTTTGGTGCAGTGTCACACAGTAATGCCCTGTAGGGCTGTTTGACTTTCTTTGTGTGCCCATGAGGGCAGGGACTGTTTTGAAGTTGTAGAAATTGATGAATTAATCAAAAGTTGTTTAAAAACATACAATCTGTTTATAGTGTGAGATGTCATTGGATATGCATTTATATTCATCCTTAAAACTTGGATGAATAGGCAGTTTGGGAATCATTTCTCACCTAATTTTTTAACCTCGGTTTTTTTTAAAAAAGAAAAACTCTGCCGGGCGCGGTGGCTCACGCCTGTAATCCCAGCACTTTGGGAGGCCGAGGCGGGTGGATCACGAGGTCAAGAGATCGAGACCATCCTGGTCAACATGGTGAAACCCCGTCTCTACT